AAAAGGGTAAGCGGGGGTAAAAGAATGAGTTATTTGTGAGGGCTGCACCACAGGTAATGCCTCCTGTCTTATCATGTTGGCCTACCACATCAAAAGAATGCGTGCTCTTGTTTGTGGCTGGTGAAAATGCCTAGCTAATTGTGGTGACTATGTTGAAAAAAGCTGCTTTGTAGCTGAGAATGTGCTCCATCAAGTAGTGTTTTTTTTAGTTTTGTAGCTCAGTTTCCATGAAAATACAGAGGATGTATTACATTCAGATTGATCTATGTGTTTATGCTGAAAGATAATGAGTTCCTTAAGATACACAGAGAGAAGAGTGCACAAAAACACCCGTGTGCATGCCTAAACATGTGACTGGGAATGGATGGAGTCTGTTGCTGCTGCGTATGAGGAGCTGCTTGGGATGCAGAATGTGGTCTTGGGTTACCATTGAACGGACAGTGTTCCACAACAGGCCTCCTTACCCAGTAAGGTTTATATCCTGAATTAAGTAGAGCATGGCTGCTTCATTTCTGAATTAAGTTCACCTATTTTACTTTCCTTTCTCCTTGGCTTCCTCTTCTTTTTTTGTCCTTGGAAAGGGAGATAGGGAAGGGATGGGGAATGTTGCCAGTGCTCTGAAGCATCAGCCCAGTCGGTACCAAGTTACATCAGTGAAGGAAGGAGGACTTTAACAGATTCCTTCTTGAGATGGCTGCTAAACTTGCTTCCTGTACAGCTGAAACGGTGGGTGAATTCCCAGACTGGTTCCAGTAGAGGTAGATAAAAGTAGTTCTAAGGGCTGATTTGCTGCAGACTACAGGATCTCATGCACCTTTCTCTGATGGATGTTCCTAGATAACTAGAGGTGAACAGACTATTGTTTTGGTCTAATATAATTATCCCCATATTTTCAGTATTAACATGAAGCATGGTTTGTCTCAGAACAGATTGTAAGTGCCCAGCTTCTGTTACGATGTTAGCATTCTAAAAATGTCTTAAAAAGTAGGGTGGGAAGAACATGCAAATAGAAGAGCGTGCAGAAAGGAAGCATAGATATATAAATATATTTTTCTTTTTTTCCCGGCAGTTGAGTTGGGAGAGATGCCTTGCTTTTCCTTCTTTAGACAGAGATTTTATCCATTTTGAACATATGTTCAAAAACTGTAAAGTTTTAGGTCAGCCTGGAAAATATTTTAAACTCTGTTTTATGGACAGATAGGATTGGGATTCTGTTATGATAGGAGTTATGACAAGCTGCAAGTTTGGTGTGGCCCAAAAGGAGGTGCAGGGGGGGAATGGGAAACAAACCAGCTAAGTTGGTAGCAGTCAGGACTGAGATGAGAAGTTTTCTGGTTGTTAAACCCCAGTGCTTTCATTTTGCCTCTGTAGCATGTGCTTGCCCTTCAACTAGACATTAATGAGTAAGAACTTGGAGTATTGGTTGTGCTTTGTTTTTACTTCGATTTTTTGTTTTTTCAAATGGAAGACAAGGGATCCCATCTGCTTTGAGAATTCAGTTCCTGTATACCTGAATCTTACAGGTACAAAAACCAGATTAAAATGATAATGAGTTTTTGTCATTGAAACACTCCCTTTTTTTAGGAGGTAGACCCCTGTGACATTTCTGGGAGGATATAAATAAATATGATCTGCTGTAAGGTGTTAAGTGATGAGCAAAATTTTCTCAATAAAATACAAGAACATTTTATATATATATATACATATTTTTTATTTTATATATATATATATATATTTTATATATATATATATACACACACACACATACACATACGTATACATATATACATATACATACTGTTATGCTAAAAGCTGATTGTAATCAATTACTTTGAGTCTACTGTAGGGCCTTTTATTGCACATTAATTGTTCATCTTGTCTCAGTTTTTATTTTGGGGTTAAGAACCAACAACAAAATATTTCTACTTCATGCTATTTCTGTTGTTCTTAGTTCCCTAGTCTTCTATTAATAGAGAAATTGGTGGTATGGATACATCTTCTGAAGCAGAGATTGGGATGACAGAGATGGCAGAGGCTCTTAATCTACTGCCTCCGTTGCATTGCTGTTTATTTTCAGCACAGGCTTTATGGTTTGGAAATGGTGTTTCAATTCCTCCCTTTCAAGGCTGCCAGGAAATACTCAGTTATATTAGGAAAAAAATCCTAGTTTGTTACAAGTCAGTCCGTCTGTCATGTAGAATGAATATATGCCTATAATTAGGGAATATTTTTTAAATGTTGTAGTGATCTTTCTTTATAACCAGGCTCGGTGTATTTGTCAGTGGGGTCTGACTCTGGAGGTGTGAGATGTTATGGTTACATCCTATAGATTAAGCACATCACCTAAAAGCATCAGCTGATGCAGTGTTTCTTTGTGGGTCAGCCTTTGCAGGAAGATGTTAGACTACACAGACTACATACATTACATGGAGTAAGTTATGCTATCCTGCCTACTTACCTTCTTCAGCTTTTTAAATCAATCAACAGGAAACTTCTGTGTTTAATTTGACTGGCTTAATACTTCAGCTCCCACGATTAGAAAATACATTTCTGAATGGCCAAGTATCAGCAGCAACTGGCTTTGTTTAGACTGTAGTCAGTCTCAGTTAAGCTTTCCTGTCCCTAAGAAAACATATAGATGTCTTTATGCAGCTGTAACATCTTTTAAGCTCTGAATTACAGTATGATGAGTTATTGAGCTGCTGTTTTAGAGCACTTGCTGTGCATATGCTTAAATTCAATGACCAAACTTAAATCATGTTTGTATTGAAAAAAAACGCGTGGTATTTTTCTCACTGTAAGAAAAATCTAAAATTCTAACTAAAAATATTGTAGGTTCAGGAATGTTTCACTTCAGGTGAAATAATTTGCTATTCTATTTTGAGAAACATTAACACAAGCTGAGGACGTGAAAGCTCGTTGTTAACAAAAATAACCATCAGAGTTGGGTAAATTGAATATAGGCTGTTTGATGGTGGTTAGGGCACAGTTCTGACAGAGAAGATGTATGAAAATGCTCATGCTCCACAAGAGAACACAATTCTCCATTGGAGGCCAGGCAGATACTGCTAATTATAGTGCTTTATTTGATTCAAGTGAGCCTTCTGTTATTGTGTCTGCTTTGTGAACTATTTCCACTCTTTGCATCCCATACATAGCTTCCTTTCAAATCCATCCCAAAACTTTCATTCAGGCTAATCTCGTGTGGTATCTCTTCTAAAGCCAGTTTTTTGAGCAGATCAGTTCCTTCCACTAAACTGCATGTGATTGTAGCTCTCGTGGATTCTTAGAGATTGTGACTCTAGTTAAAAAGCAAGCGTGTAAACCAGTTACTTCTGCCTTGTATAGTTTCTTAATCTGACACCACTTTATTGGTTGGGATCTCCTTAGTATTTTTACAGATCATCTCTCGTATACTCAGAATACTGTGTTAGTGTGGTTGTTTGCCTGTTCTCAACTGAAATTACTTTACCAATGTGTAGCTAGTACTAAGGGAATGGAAAGGAACAGGACTGCATCTCTTTTAGTTCTTTTGATTCCTTCCTGCGATGCCGTAGAACTGCCACCCACACCTGTATTTATAATGTCATGGGGCATTGTAACAGCATGCAATAGCCTGTAAAATCAAGGACTGTGAAGAAAGCCAAAAGCTGCATTTCATAAAGACGTGTGGTATCATGTTCTAATCTTGTAGCTCTTGCACACTGTGAAATCCAGTACAGCATCTTATTACAGTGTATTTGACATTGGAACAGTATGCTCAGCTTGCACATCTTGTCCTTGTAAAAATGCTGGTGAAGTGGAATTTGTCAAAATGCTATCTTTTTTCCCATAGATGCAAGTGTTAAAGTGTTTGTATCTGTTTTAGTGGTTTTATATGTGTACTCAAACAGCATAATTTCAGAGCAACGCAGTTATTTTGTTAGAATTAAGGCTGATCTTTAGTTACAAAGCAGTTGTAATTATAGCACATTGAGATGGGAATTTAAAAAAAAACAAAAATTGTATTTGAATGATTTTTAGACCACTCTGTTCATTTCTTTCTTCCTTGTGCCGTAGCAATATAAACAGCAAGTTAAGGATTACCTTGAGATAATTATTTAAATACAGGTTACATATTAATGTATTTCCTCAAGGTTTAATGATTTGTGTTAACATAGCTGCTGCTCTCTGAAATTGATTTAATTTTAATGTCAAAACTGGAAGTTTGGAACATCTACAGTGAGCAAGGATGTAACTTGATGTCTTAGGTGCTTTTATGTCGCACTGTTTGCTTTCCTCCCATACCTGCTTTACTAGGTTAGGCTCTTTCCTCATGTTACTGATACGTTTTTCCCTTGCATGTGGTTTAAAAATAGTGTCGCTTTTCTATTTTAGACAGCTCACTATTCATTTCTCTTGGCATAGTCTGCTTTGGTTTTCATTGGCTTATTCATGCACAAAGCTGTGTTCTGAGTAATTCTTTTTCCATGCAATGTGATCTTCTATCTGCAAAAGGTTTTCTTCAAAACCTTTCCTTGTGTGCAGATACATCATTGGTGGTGTGTATCAATCTGAATTTAGGCAAAAATTGATTAAATTTTAAAGAATCTCCAAGGAAACTAAAAATAGTGAGATAGAAATATAGACTTAAGCGTTTTCATACTGCAGGTGATACAAGTTATCAGGAAATCCAGTAGTCCAAAGATGAAGAGGATGAAAACAAAGGATAATAGCATGAGTTGAAACAAAGCTCGGTTGCTGTATCAAATGGTTTAAAATCCTCAGGCAGAAAACTTAGATCAATTCAAATTTTACTTTGCATTGAACTTTTTTAAAAAGCAGGTGCAGTCGAGGCAAGTGGCAGAAGGATTTGTGCACTGGATTTTGAGCATCTCTGAGGATGGAGATGATGCATCTTGCTGGTGTGACTTGTTCTAGCATGTAACCACCCTCATGGTTAAAAAAAAAAGTGAAGTCTAAGCAACAGACACAACCCAAGTCTTTTTTTTTTTTTCCAGACACGTCTTCCTCCATTCTCAGCTGCGTGTTATTTCTTGTCCTGTTGCTGTGCAGCTTCAAGGGCAGTCTGACCCTGTCCTCCCATCAGATAGCTGCAGACAGCAGTGAGCAAGGTCGTGCTCTCCCCCTCGCCTCTTTCACGGCTGGGCAGAATTCACTGTGCTTGCGTTGTGTGAAGTGGTGCCAACTTGTGTTTGTGACCTCGGTTGGAATGAGGGGCTGCGTGGAGTGAAATACAGCGCTGAATATCTTCAAGTGGAAATAATGTGAAGCTTTTCAGATGCGATGATCTCCCTTGTCTGTTGTGTCTTCACAATGTTATAGAATGCTGCTAGTTCAGTACTGACTGTGTTGCTTTTGATAGTCCATATGAACAGGGTTTAACATTTAATGTCAGGTTTATTGATACAAAGATACTTGCTGCTGCTTAGTTCTGTGTTTGGATTTAGGAGACAGCAGTATGCTGAAATCACAGCACAAGCGCAGTGTTGCAATTGCAGTGCATGCTTAAATCACCATAAAATGTGATTCCCATCACTGAGTCTCCATGTGCTCATCAACAGCATGATGGACATCCCATGTCACCAGGTAGGAATATGAGAGTTAAAGCCAGTTCAAGTCTATTACTCTCTTCTTTCTGTTGGCTGTTTAGCTTTTATGCCTTTTTTTTTTTTTTTTTTTTTCTGAACTGAGCTACATACATTTCTCCACTGCCCTGCTGCTCTGGCTGTCTGGGAAGGCTCTGCTAATTATCTCAGGGAAGTCTGTTCAAACAACTTGAACCTACTGGTACAGCTGTATATCTGAAACAAAGATCACCATTGCTGGTATTGAGATCAGTTCAGTTAGCTTAACGCTACAGAGTGGTTGTGCCTTGCACTCTTCCATGAGGTCATCACTCTCACCCATCTCCTCTGAGCCTTCTTCCATTGCAGAGGTTTGTTGGTTACTGATTCATGCCACGCTGTATCTCTTTGAGACTTGTGAACTGGATGGGAAACCGCCTGTCTGAGCTGCTCCTCATCTCAGAGCTGAACAGATGTGTGCTTTGGCAACATGAACTAAGATTGCCCAGCTGTATGACGGTGAGCTGGAAAAAAGAAGAGGGGGAAGAGCTGCAGGCAATGACAGAACACTGCATCTTACTTCTGGCCTGTGTCTGAAGGGATTGCAAGAGAGGGCAACTGCCTCAATAGCAGGGTTGAAAAGGAGCACAGTGCTCATCCAGTTCCAACCCCCTGCTATGTGCAGGGTCGCCATCCACCAGCCCAGGCTGCCCAGAGCCACATCCAGCCTGGCCTTGAATGCCTCCAGGGATGGGGCATCCACAGCCTCCTTGGGCAACCTGTTAAGACTTGTAAAGATTAGATAACGTGCTCTTTCAACTCTAGCAGTGGTTCCAAAATTCATCACCATTACTTTGACGCAAAGAAGAAAATACATTATTTCTTAGTTGCCTTCTGAAGCAATCTGTTCAGTATCTCTCATTGCAAAAACAACAGCTACCACAATGAGGTTATTTTTTTTTCTTTGAATATACAGTTGGAAATGATGTTTTTCTCCCTTTGTATCCCAATGTATACAAAACAGTTTGCATACTAAGCTACTTTTGTCTGTTAGAGGAAAGTTAGGGGTACTCCCTACTGACTATTTTTGGAAATTAATCTGAACTGTAACCTACCTCTTCAGAGACAGCAGCAGTTGAGCTTAATCCAAACTGCTTAATCCAAACAAATCCAAACCAATTTTAATAGGTTTTTAATGGGTTGAAGAAGAGCGTCATTGTTTGCTGTTTTGTGTTCTTCCCCCTTCTCCCTTTTCCCCCCCAACATGTAATTTTGTTCCTGGTTTCAGCAGAGTTAGCCTGCTTGTGATAGAACTATCTCAAATGCAGGTAGTTGTAGCTCTCAGGCTGAGTTCAGTAGGTACAAGTTGAGATATTTTCATTGCTCTTGATGCCTAGTAGCTAGAGTGCAATTTATAGCTTCAGTGGGATAAATGTGATGCATTTTGCCTGTCTTTTCCTTTTTACTTAGCAGAATACACATTTGTGTATTTAGAGTTAAATGATCGTTTGCTTAATAACAGGGATGTATTAATATCTTTATTTTTGCCAACCCAGTTTACCATGATTTAGGACCTCACTTAAATTTCATATAATGAAGACAGCTCTTCTAGTTTTTGTAACTTTTATTTGCTGTTTACATATATGAGCAAGTTTTACAAGTCTGTTTGTGCATACAGATATTAAATTTTCCCCTGCAGAATATTCTCAAATTTCATCTTTTCATTTCTTTTACTGTTTTGATGATGATGATGATAATTCTACTCACTTTTCTGCTAAATCCTCTTACGTTAGAAATTGTTCTTGGAGTTATCCAGAGTGTGCAGTTTCCTGGAGGTGTTCAAGGCCATGTTGGATGGGGCCCTGGGTAGCCTGGTCTGGTATTAAATGTGGAGGTGGTTGATCCTTGAGGTCCCTTCCAACCTAAGCCATTCTATGAGGAATTTACCCAGTTGTGCCAGTTAACCCACTTCAATTTATCTAGGACTGTCCGAATTACTGAATTTGTAAGCTGGTGTGAAACGTTGGTTTCATTGAAATAACTTTTGTAAATAAATACTTACAGTTATCTTGCCCTGAGTTTTGGTATATAATGATATGATGGTATTTTATCCTAGAATTCATTATCAAAGGAATTATCCATAGAATCACAGAATGGCCGTGGTTGGAAGGGACCTCAAGGATCATCAAGCTCCAACCCCCTGCCACATGCAGGGCCACCAACCTCCCTGTTTATTCACTCACTGTTGTAACCAATCATACTGTAGTTCCAGCAAAGCAGTATCCATTTCTGGAGTTACATTCACATTTTCATTAATATATATGCTAATAAAGAAGTCCAGTGACCTCATTTCTAACATTGTCATTAACAGACTTGAAGCTTAACTGAATTTCTTTTTGTATTGTATGACTTTACCCGATACTTGTTCCTAACTGTTACATACACCTCCATTTATTTTGTGAGATTATTTATTACTTTCAGGCAGTACTGAAGGCTTAAGCTGGCTTTAAGTTATTTTGCTTAGTAGTAGTTTATGTCTCTTATTGTAGTCGCATACATGTTTGTCTCTTTCATTTCTTTGATTAACAATTAATCAAAGAAATTAATTAATACCTGAAGCAAACCTTTTTTAGAAGATGCAGTCCTTCTTTCTTGTTATTTACCTTCCTATTTTTTGTTTTACACATTTGGCTCCAAAGGTAAGGGTTAATATCTCGTGGAACAGGACGATGACTTTCAAACAGGTTTCCTATATGGCACAGCCAGAAAACGTGAAACGAACATCAGTTAGGAGACTATTAGACAAAATCCTTTTTGTTTGTTTTTGTTTTGTTCATGATCTTTAGTTTAAAGAAAAGAACACAAAAAGTAAACAATAAGAGTAGCTCCTTAGAAGCTAGATAGGTAATGTTGACAGATATTATGACAAATAGCTGATTTGATTCTGCAAACAGTTGTGAAGATTAAAACTTCTTCCCAAGAGCAGTGAGTTAAGCATATTTGGCAGTTTTCATGAGCAAAGAGTTACATAGATCTATTTACTCTGCTCTTGCAACTGTCCTGTTCTTCCTGTTGTCTTCTTGCCTGACTTCTTAATTCTACCCAAGCAACTGCTTGCAAAAAGTAAGAATTCACAGGGGTGCTGCAGCCGTTATTTTGCTCGTTATTGATGCAGCTCTATAATATGTTTTCTTTATATGTAAGTAAAAAGTTTCAAGACTTTTGTGCTAAAATCGTTTTATTTTCCACTGAGGATGGAAGCTAACATGAATTAGCTTAACTGTTTTTGAAATTCTTCCTTACTTTTTGGCTTTCTTTGTGAAATTGGAGAGGCAGATCACATTTACATTGGTGTTTTACTGGTGTGGATTTCTAATGAATTATAAACTCTTGGAACTCTTATTCTTTCATAGTTGTCTTTGGAGACTGTACTGAATCAATTCTGGAAAGTATTGTGTAAAAATGCTTATTGTTGATTCTAGAAGAAGATGGACAATGTCCATGGAAACTTGCAGGCAAATAAGTTTTACATATTCTGTCACGATCTAGAGAACTTTAAATTAAAGCAGTATCTCATGTTGAAGAGTTGGAGGTGATATGCAATTGTGGAGCATTAGAAACTTGTGGATAAATATTGGGAAGGCTTGATGCATGAGAATCATAATCTATGGAATGATTTCTCAGGGATGGAGATGTTTCTTGTGATCTTAAATGGCATGTGAAGTGAAATGACACTGGGTTTTGAGTTCTTCAGTTCAGTAGTTCTGAAATTTTCCTTCATTTTTTTTTTTTATTAGTGGACTGACTTGTGTTCTCTTCATTGCTGTTGACAGTTCTCTTGTGTAAGGTCAGCACTGAACTGGGATATTAACCACCTATTACTTCTTACAGGTGCTGCTTCCAGCAGCTGGTCTCTTGCAACTGCAGGATGTGAAAAGGACTTGCTGTGAATTTTTGGAATCCCAGCTTCATCCTATCAACTGCTTGGGAATTCGTGCTTTTGCTGACATGCACGCGTGCACGGATCTCTTGAACAAGGCCAACACATATGCAGGCAAGTTACCGTTAGTACAGAGCAGAGCTTGATATTTGCATGGAGATGCTCATGGTTTTCATATTTAACCACTCTCACTTGCCCAAAGGTAACTGAATTTTATTCAAGCTATTTTAGAGATGCATTTTCTGAAGAAGACTGCCATTTTGTATGAATGTCTGTCAGAAAGAAGCTTTGCTCTGTAACACAGCTACAATGAGTACAGAGGGGCAGTATTTTCATGGCCTATCAGGTCCATGAAACTTCTAATCCATAAAGAATCTAGCTTGCTGCTTGAAATTATTTGCACCATGACTCAGAGGAGGAATGTAGAAAAAAAGAGTTAAAACTCTGGTTTTAGAAGAGCTAAGTGGGGAAGTCTTGTCTACAGTTTTCAAGGCTGTTGGGTGAAGATGGAGGAAGAGGAGAGCATGTGGGAGAGCTATCTGTAGCCCCTGTACTGCATTAAGGGTAAGGCAAGACACATACCATATGAGTATTGTCTTGTAATTTGTCTTCTGAAAATTTTACTCATCTAGCCCAAGACTGCAAATTTTCTCCTGTATGTGTAGTATCATTCTTTTTGTCTTGACACCAACTAGATAGAGGTACATCTTCTAATTAAGCATGTAGCTCAAACAACAAGATATTTCATTACTCCAATTTTTACTTGCCTTCAGAGAACACTTGTCGTTATTTCTCATTCTTGGCTGAAAAATCTTTAGATAATCTAAATTTTATTGATAGAAGTACATTGTCACCGTAGACTGTTTTTCATATCTGTGAGTGCACTGGCTCATCAAGTCCTGACATTTTCAAAATTAGGTTCTTATTTTGCTTGCTGCCACAAATTAAAAAAATAAAAATAAAGCAATTCTGATTCTTTGGTGAGCTAGTAGTAGCACTATTGCAGGGCAAGGGGCAATTATTCTCTTTGTGCTTTTTCTTTTGAGGCCTCAAGTGGAAAATGCTGAATTGAACTTTATGACAGATGCAAGCAGGCTGGAAGGAATCCAACAAAATCGAACAAGAACACACTAAGGAAACAGACTGACCTATGCCAAAGGCTGTGGGAGAGGAGTTGATTAGGTCAAGGCTTTAACTGATTAGATGAACTGATGATTTAGATTGATCTAAATCACACCTGGGTGCGCAACGTGATTTGCTAGCTTGCATTTCTATGATTCTGTAAAGGCTAGAATCCTTCCTGTTTCCAAAAAACATTTTCTGTTGTTAGAAATAGAAATTATTACCAAATCAGTAGCTATTAACAATCTAGTGCGTTACTTTGACTGCTTTTGATACTAAGATAGATTGCCTAATGTAGATGAGTAAAGCATAAACACAGCTACGTGTGTAAGCTTTGCACAAAGCAGCAAGTTTGTAGCATACCACTGACTAGATCTAATGCTTTAATTGGTTCAAATAGCAATTATCTGACTATCTTTTTTGTGTGTGTTAATGCCTTGGGGTCTTGGTGTTGGGTAAAGACTGAAGACATTACAGTTACTTAATTTTTAATGCAGGTTTTTCACAGCGAACAAAAAAGCCTGTTTTTCATTAGAGTATAAAATTAGTAACCAGGAAATTAGTGTATTTGGATTGTACTACACAGTAGTGAATGTTTAAAGAACAGGACAAACTTATTTTAGAAAATACTATGAATTCAGAAATCGTGGGTTGTCAGAAATTGAGAGAGATTCTCAGGTGAGCCTCTTTACATGCAACTGTCTATGGAACAGAGGAACAGTTCCACAGTCACGGATCTTCCTCTGTCTTTTCAGTGCCTGCTGGATGTTTCATTTAGTTTACTTTAGAGCCAGCAAAATTCAATGCAGTTTTTTCACTTAAATATCTTTCCCTCTGTGATTTCAGCGTTTTCCCACTTGTCGAGCTTTGTAAACTTGAACTCTCCTCTGCCATTACTTTCAACTGCTGTCTTATTTATTCCTCTTTGTTTCTTCCCTCCCCACAAAACTAGTTCTACCTTGAATCTCCCTTCTGTTGCAGTGTAAATCAACATCTGCTTCACCTTGCTGCTCTCCATCTACTAAGTTTACTTTGCTAATTTCTCAGTATTCTGAAGTCCCCTCTTTTCGGCCCCCCCCCCCCCTTTTTTTTTTCTCAGCCAGATTATATTCCAGTCTTTCATGCTTGGATTTTCCAGTTCAGCACACTCTCCTGTACTTCAGTCTATCATTTCCTATCTCTCTCTCTCCCCACTGTTTCTGTTGGATTCCTCCAGAAATTCCTCCTCATATATGCTTCCATTTTGGTCATCATATTCCTGGAGTCCTTCTGGGCCATTCGGTGAGCTGTCAGCTCCACTTCTGCTGTAGCTTCACTGGACCTGTCATGATTTTAAAGCAGTGTGCACTCTGTTCTTACTCTTAAGATCTGTATGTTGTGTGTGGTTGGAATGTGAGCTTGTTCGTTGCCTGGCACTCTCTGCCTTGTCTTTGTCAATCCTTGTGTTCTGCTGGGCTCAGGAGAATAAAAAATGAAACATCCTGCAAACGCTCCAGGAAAAAAAAAATAAAAGACACATTTTTATTGCTTTTCATAGCTTTTATGAAATGAATAATGGCAAATAAACCCTGTACTAATTGTTAATAAAGCTAAAACTGGAGATCTGCCTGAAATAGAGCCCAAACTGCTTCTTGCAGATGTCTAGGTCTGAATAGTAGGCTTTTTATTGCCATTTCAGATCTCAGAAAGATTTTCATGGATATTTTCAATTGCTTTCCTTCCAAGTGTGTTTGTTTTCAGTTTAGTTTTTTTTCTCCTCCAATTTAGTAGATTATAGTTTATCTATCAAATTACATATTTGAGGAAGAAACAAATGCAGCAAACTCATGTGGCTGGGTGTTCATAAAAAGAATCCCTGGGTGTTGTCTTGTGTGAAACAGCTATACAAAGCAACTGTGCTCAGTAGTATTTCATTATTTTAACCTCATGAAGCTGTATGAAAACCATTTGTATATCAGTTTAAAAAAAAATCCCTCAAACCAACAGCAATAATAACAACAAAACACAATTCAGGAGCTATTCATGTTGGTTTTAAAACAACTGGCTTTTGAAATGCGTGCCTTGGGGGGAAAAGTTCAAATGAATGTCAGTGTTCTCTGTGATAACTTCACTTGTGAATTATCCTGTGTTAATTTACTAGTTGCAGTTGATATTTGTGGAAATTAATTTCTAGAAATATGAAATCTAAGACATTGACGAGACTTTGAGTGCAATACTTGTTGGCATCTGTGCTATGTACAGATTATAGCCTTCCCTCTGAGGGAAGGTTTTGTTCAGGTGTCCTTTGCTGACGTAAGAGAGACACTGCAAGCAGAGTGTAGACAACAGAGAAGGATAAGGAAGCTATTTGTTCTATCTGTTGATCCCATCTGGGACTTGCCACTCCTGGTGAAGCGCTTAGGCAAGAAGGGCTGGCCTCCATTTCTCCTTGCAGTGGACTGATCATCAATGTTGCTGGATTTGTCTTCTGACTCCCTGGTTTTCTTTTGTCCAATTTCATATCTTTTCAGGTCAGTGTTTTTCCTCATGAGTTTTCAAGCATCCAACTGCCATCTTGGCATCACAGCGCCTGTTCTTGGATGGCTCTGTGTCCTTCAAGGCTCTTTCTCACAACTTAACATTTTTTTCTTAGAAGTCTGAGCCAAATGTATGTGGCTGTGTCATTTCAGAATCAGAGACAGCTGAACTCCCAGGAGCAAACATTTCAGGATTACAGAAGAGGATTATTTGAGTGTGGCAAAAATATCGTCCCGCTAGAGTAACTAAAATGCATTTGGACATTTAAATTGTTTTTGTTATATTTGCCATTTAATGTTGAAGGAAAAGAGCCAGAAAGATAACTTTTGCTAACAGACAACACTGTCATAAAAAACAAATGATGCAAGTGTAGATCAAACGTTATTAGAAAACTGAGACTCCGAAGCTGCCTTTCAGTGGGACTAAAATCCCAAATTGCATTAAAATTGGAGCTTCATAACTGTGTGATGGGGCTGGTCCTCTGGCTACTAGATTTCTATAATCTGGGAGAGCCATTTATGTAGGCATCATTATCTGATACCTATCAAAAGATCTGAAAATAGTGGATGCTTGATACAAATAATTTGGAATTAGCTTCCCTTACAATTAAATTTTCTGAGATCCTGGGATAAATTGGAAAGGCTAGTTGCCATACAAGGCAGCTGGACCAGAAGAAATACTACTAGTCTTTGATGCTGAAGGTATCTGTTCTTCCTTTTTGTACTGTTTCGTAACTATGCTTTTAGCTAAAGGGGGTCTCAATAACCAGCTTTATACAGCCAAGCTGTTTGGCCTTAGTATCATTCTGAGAAACTTCTGATGGGGAATCTTAGCATGGGTTGTGAAGCACGGGCTGCTAGGTTGTACTTAGCTGTGGTACACTGCATGCTGCATTCTGGTACTATGCCTAAAACTTGGAGCCCTGACTAGATCTGGAAGCATGCATGTCTGCTGCAAACTATTCTGGTGTACGTTTGTACTCGTGAGATTTAAAGGACATATTTAGCAGGATCTTTCTTACAATTCTATTCTGAGTAGCAACGTCTGTTGCTATGCTTCTGTTACCTTGGCTGCTATGAGTTTCATGGTGTTCTAAAAAGCAGTTGTTTAAGCATAAAATTAACAAGACAGAGTTTTAAAGATTGGTTTCAGCTGTGTTTAGTTCTCGCCAGGTTAAACTGGAAGAGCTTGTCTGGGTTCCTCATGTCCAGTGCCTTGTGATAAGCTATTAGTGAAGACCTTTTCTCACAAGTCAGAAATGTGACACTGTGAAGTAATAATTAAAAAAAAAAAAAGTTAAACTAATTCTTCCTAGATGTGCTTGAGATGCTTGAGAAATTATCACTGTTCTTGGAAGTGAATGTAAGGCTCAGATATTTCCAAGCTCCATGCTCTGCATCTCTGTAAAATAAAATAAATGTTATCAGTTGAAGAAGAAGCTGTGTTTCTGGGAGGCTCCAGCTGGCTTTGTAGCAGTAGCACATCAGAAAGGCACAAGTACTCTGTTTAGCTCCGGAAACAGATTTCTAACAGAGTAGAAATAGTTGGCCTATAACACAAATAATGCTTGCAAAAGAGAGTTGAGATATTTGATGGTGATCTTTTGTTTCCCAAACGAATAGATGCTGGATTACTGTCATGCAAAGATCTAAAAAATAGGAGGGTTTTTTTTTCCTTTTATTAACTGCAAGCTATGCCACTGATAAGCTCCAGCCATATTTTTCATGTGTTAATGCAGCTGTGGGAAGATACACTGGGAGAAGATTTCTGGAAGCATAGAATGTATTGAAAAGTTTGTTTGGAAATGCATATTAAATAGCATTTTTGTATTCAGCAGTCAGTGATGCTAAATGATTGAAGCCTGCTGCTAATTGAATAGAAACGTGGGCAGTTTTCAGTACGTGGAGAAAGCACTGGGAGCAGACATACCTATAAAAGCAAGTAGGAGATGAGTTACACTCTTTGTGTCACTGTGACTCTCTAGAAGGCTTTGCATCTGAGGAAAAGATTTTTTTGTGTTTATTCCTTTTATTGAAAGGAGATCAACCAGGGGTTTGTCTGTGGGTATATAAATGAGTGAAGTAGTCTTTGTGAATTAATCCACAAATGTCTGTAGCATGAAGTGTTCTATGCAAACTTCAGATGCAGCGTTTTTTCCCTGCATAAGTGAGAAATACCAAAGTAGTGACAATATCTCTCACACTATCGAGACGTGTACCTTTTGGACAGGAAAAGCTCCAAAAGGAGAAAGTAATTGATGTCAAATGTCCACTATTTTCAGATCTCTCACCAGGCATCAGATACGTGCAAATGGCCAAATCCAGCAGCCAGGAGGACCAGCCCTTTTGGTCGAGCACTTACTACTGCTGTGCCTATGTAGAACGAACGCGGATCTCCAAGCTCCTGATGAAAAGTACCAACAAGTGGTACTTGTACAGCTCCTCTTATCTTCCTTTGCTCTGCACGTTAGCTATGTGCAGTGTACTTCCAAGCATTTTGTTACCAGCTGCTTTCACGTGAAGAACTTCCTCTTTGTCTCTTCAGCATGTTCTTGAAGCTGAAGTCCCAACCTTCCGGTACAGAGCAGACGAGGACACATCTTCATCTCCCCAGATACAAACTGGGTCTCTGCCAGTTGTGAAAATGTGAAAATCTGTTTTTCACATGCAATTGGAACAGATATTTTAGGAGCTTCCTGAAATTGAAGGATCCTCTTATTTTTAAGGCAGGTTTAAGTTCTGATGATAAAGAATTCTAATTCTACTTGCTCAGAAAGTGGGAATTTGGGAGCCAAGATCCTGTAGCTCATAAGCCAGCTTACTTCCAGGCTGCTGGATTCTCAAGCCAACTGGCTTCAATATCTAGGTAAAGCAGCAAGAACTCAGGCAAGATTCCAGTATGAGTTTGTGAAAGTTGCACACTGTGTGCAAAATTCTGGTTTGGAAAAAATAAGTATTTTATCCTCGTATGAAAACTTGTAGCCAAATGATTCTATCTGTCTGCTTATCTAGGAAATGTTAATAACTGAAGTAACGTTACCTATTGCAACAAATGAAAACACAGCTAGTTGGGGGAAGAGATGCACAGAATGGTTGGTCATGTCAGAAGTTTCATGATGCTTGATGTTAATATCTCAGATTGTCAAAGCTTTCAGGATTTGAGTAATATAGAATAAAACAAACCCTAACCCAGATGGTGAAAACACCACCCAATATTATTTGTCTCTCGTAATTGTTATGAAAGTGAGTCCAAGTGGAGTTTTTTGAATTCTTAATATGGGATCATATTATTTCAAAGTAAGATGCTGATATCCTTTGTGTCTAAGGAAGCAGAAAGATTTCAGTTCCATACACATTTTTATGGAACAGAAAAAAAAAGCCTTCTGTCTCCAGTGCTTGAACAGTTTTAGATAAACCACTGTTGGCAGATTTAATTGGTGTTCTTCAGTTTCCTTTTAATTTTTTTCATTTCTTATTTTGAATAATCCATTTTGTTGTAATTTCATTTGGCTTCTGCCAAACAGTTACCTGTCAATCACTTAAGATGGTCTCCTTGACAACAAGAAAAGCAGTTCTGAAGAGGCAAGTGATTTCACTTCACCTTCCCACTTATTATTTTTACATGAATAAAATTTAAATAGCAATGTACCCTCCTACTTCTTGGCCATATGCATTACTTCATGCTTTAAGCACAGAGGTGGCATCCTGTAAAATAACCTCTTATTTTTTGCTCAAATACTGTATTTTTTTAATAATTTCTCCTACAATTATTTTGCTAGCATGAGGAAAGATGACAGCTTCACCTTTGCAAATTACATCAAAAATTCTCAGCTTTCTCTTTTGGTTATGGACTGGATTTCTTCTTTTTCCTCACAGCATGTCATAAATCTAAACCACCTTTTGAAAAGAAACAAAAGTCTCTTGTATATAAAATTAATTCTAGATGACGAAGTGTATCTTGTTGAATGTGATGCTGTTGGGTTGGCTTTCTCAAAGAAAGGTGAACAAGGCTTCTTTTCTGCCTACTTTTGAACTCAGCTTCCCTGTTCTGTCAAATGTGGTATTGTCGTTTAAAACATGGGGTTTATCATGGAACTAATTTATGCAAGTTAGAGTTTTCAATTTCTATGTGTAATGTGCTAACAGTAAAATTAAGCAGATATTTATTTCAGTAAGTGTGCCTCTCAACATTCTACTCAGGCTCAAGAAACTGCATATTTGTAGTTTGAAAAGCAAGCAGACATAAAGATTGGTAAGGAATAGAAGAGTAATGGCAGTGTTATAGAAATCCATTTGCTTCTCCTCGTCTATTCTTTTCCATAGCCTGAAATACTACGGAAAACACTAGTGTGTATTAGGAGAGAATGTTGCAGAATTGAAGGGATTATCATTACATGTATGAAAAGGCTGGTAGGATAAGAGAAAAGGCAACGACTGCCTACTTAGAATAGAAGTGAAGGATGAAAAGAGTAACAGTTCTAAGTAGATTGGGACTTTCTCTGTCACCATATCTAGCATTAGAGCACGTTGATGTTACTGAAGTCTGATCAATGGTGAAGTGTGCGTGAAGTTCAGATGCAGGGTGTCTACTTTGATGAAGCTAGGGACATATCAGTCAATAATTTAACAGAGGTCAGAGGATTGGATTGTGTCTTCCTGAAACTCATTGTTTAATGAAAGGTAGTTAAGGTAAAATATCATCGTTCTGGTTCCCTATCTCTAATTTTTCACAATTATGGTGAGATCTTGATGACAGAAGGTTTTATTATCATGTACGTATGTTACGTGTTCTTGAACTTTTGTCTGAAGCAATTTATATTGCCTGTTTGAAGGTAAGCAGGATGCTGAACTAGATAGAGAACTAGAAAAATCATGCTGCACTAGGTTTACATATTATATATTGCACATTATAAATTATATAATGTTCTCTAATCTTTACTGCAGTTCAAAAAAGCTGTTGTACCTTGAAAAAGTCAACCTGAAACATGGGACTTGTTAATCTGGGAGCATTCAGCATTCTCTAAAATTTCTTCACGGATTCCAAAGGATGGTTGAGGTGGGAAGGGACTTTCGGAGGTCCCCTGCTCCAACCCCAGCTCCAGCAGGGCCACCCAGAGCAGGCTGCACAGGCCCACGTCTAATTAGCTTTGGGAGATCTCCAAGCAGGAGAACCCATTGCCTCTCTGGGCAGCTGTTAAAGAAAAAGTTAATGTCAGGCATCAAGTTCTATAGTAACATCAGTGGAGTGGCAGGAAAGGCTTCAGAAAATTCTTCAGTTTGAATATATGTGATAACTTTTTAAAACGTTACTTGAACATTGAGTGAACTCTTAAATTTCCTGTAAGAATTGTTCCTTCTAACTTTCGTTAAGCCTAGTTGAAGAGGGTAAAATAGCAGTTAACTGGATGGAGCTACTTAGCATGTAGGTGAGGAGCTTACAAAGAAATTATAAAAGAAGAGAGAAGACAGGTGAGTAACTGAACCAACAACTGGATTAGGTTACGTGCTCTATGCTAAAAGAAAGCTTCTGGTTCTGCAGCCAGTTCATGAAATTTTGTCAGCTTTGTTTAAAGCTTTGAGACAATAAAAAAAGAAGAGGAAAAATTAAGCAGCTCCTACAGCTTGTAAAGACTGAGGTACGTAGTGTGTTTATGAACTGAAAGAAGCTCTGAGAGATGCAGCAGGATGCAAACCTGTTGGACAGCTCTTGGATTTGATCTACGTTCCTCTGTGTAACCACTGGTTAGTTGTAATGAATCAGCCCTTGTTCATTTTGAACTGCAGGTTTAAAACGTTTGTCAACAACATACAGGCTGTGTTCTTTCTCTGGAATCTTTTTTGCTGTATTTGTGTGTGCTTTCAAATATGAAGTTAGCAAAAAGAGCTTTAAGTAATTGTCAAGGACAAGCATAGAGTAGAACCACTGAAAACATTAAATTGACATGGTTGCTACTGTTAGCATATATTTTAATATTTCAGTTATTTTGAAGAATAGAAATACTATATGTAAGTACTTTTACCCTATATGAAATGTTAAGCTGCAGCTTCCAAGTATGATAGAGTAGCATATATATGGAATCATATTCCCTCTTTTTCTTCTACTACTCCAGTGCTTGGTTTGCTATGACTTAGCACTCTATGTTGATGTACTTTTTTTCCCTCCAAACAGAACAGCACTTTTCTGACGTTGTGCTTAGTGAAGAATACCTCAATCTTGGTGTAGAACAGGTGTGCAGTCTGATATCCAGTGACAAACTTACAATTGCCTCAGAAGAGAAGGTAAGTCCACCTATATTACACTATTCTGATTTTTCTTTTGTGTAAGAAAGTAAGCTTTTTCTTACTGCTCCTAAAAAAACCATCTGGATGAATTCGTTGTTTCCTTAATGAAATCAAGCACAAACTGTGCTAGTCTAAAGGATTTTTCCCAAAAGTGTTGTCAGTTTGGTGAAAATTGATCTCCACACGTGGAAATCCTACAATTGTATGAAATCCCTTAAGCCTTTGTTCCTTGAAAAAACAAAGTCAGTTAAATGGGAATTCCTTCTCATCTTCAGCAGAACAAGGAGAGTTCTTGCTGTGATTGCCCATTTTTAATGAGGCTGTTTAGACGAAGTGAAAATTGTGCGTTGTAAAGGAGATGGCTTGGTAGCTTGATACTACCAAATTTGAAGTTGTTTAAGTTCTGCTTTAGCTAGATCTTACCCTGCCAAAGCTTGTGGAACTGATCTGTGAGTCTAGCAGATCTCCTTGAGCCTCAAGTGATTTTTTGTTTGTGTAGAGGCATTTGCTTTGGGCCTTTGAATCTGGCAGTGAGCAGTTAAAAATCTGTTATCCTTTTTCCAATGAGTACGTAGTTTGTAGTGACATCTCTGCTCAAATGAACTTAAACTGTATTTTAAAGCCTGTTTCAGTGCTGATAATGATGACTCAGTTGTGTTTCGTGTTAAAATATTTTTTTGTAATGGGGAAACAATCTAAGAATCATCTGCTTAAAGTGTAATTAACAAAGTCAAGTTCCCATAATACTCTGAAGCTCCAGATGTTGTTACAATACAGTACTAATAAGGTTTTAATGCTCAAGCACCTAATGAACTGTTGTGAAATACAGGAGAAACTAGACTTGGTGCTGCTTCTCCTGCTAAGTCATTTGAGTGGTGGCGTGGCGTGTCGGTTCTCTAAGACAAGAAGAGAAGCATGAGCCTTGTGATAACTCTGCTGTACTGTTTGTTTAGACAGTATTACTGGGTTTTCAGTATTAATGGTATCACTGTGTGCACTCTGTCAGTGCAGCACAACTGCCCTTGATTAGATAAATACAGAAATAATTGGGGCTGTAACTACTACGGTCTTATGTTAGAAAAGTAAAAGCTAATGTTGGAGACAGACTGATACTTTTTGTACTCACGGATTTGTAAGTCAAGGGACTTGCATTTGTTTGTTTTTGGAAGGTATTTGAAGCGGTGATAGCATGGGTAAACCATGACAAAGATGTAAGGCAGGAGCTAATGGCACGCCTGATGGAGCATGTCCGGCTGCCTTTGCTTTCCCGGGAGTATTTAGTTCAGGTAAGCAAAAAAGAACACTAATTCTTGAGCACGTGAACACTTGTTTATTTTTTTTAATGCCAGGTGGATAGTTTTACATTTAAACAACGGTGTCACGTAATGCACTGCTAATGGTAAAAAAAATAATAATAAAAGAAACCACTACCACATGTGCACACGTGTATGCATGCACACAGTCAAATAAGAGATTGCCACATAGAGGATGCCACGTGTAATTTATTGCTTTGGATGACTGCTTGTCATGGCATACTAATAGGCTGAACGATTTAATTTTCTAAGGCCAGGATAGCTTTCATTTGTAATATGATCTTTGATACAAATCCTAAGAGGATTTTAAGTTTAAGAATTATGTCTGTTAAATTGATCAGGGCTTGGTGACAAAGAAAACGTTTCTTTACCTGGTTCACATATGTTAATTCTGTGAGATTACGTTGACTACTTTGGTGTCAGGTCAAATATTTAACACTGAAAATGCAATTTCACCATTAACATTAATTAATAGCTCCAGTAGTAGGTTGCTAGTATCTAGTTTTAGAAATTCTGTCTTTATGAGATGAATTTCTTCCACTTTGTTGTTGCAGGCTGCTTTAAATTCTTTTCTCTCCTCCAGTCTACCTTTAAGTGTTTGTACTTGAAGAGCCAAGAAAGGTCTGATTGTGAGCAGTTGCTTGCTATTGTCAGATGCTCTTTCTTCCACTTACTAATTAAGAGAATCTGTATCCTCTGATTTCTTCTCAGTGACTACATATTGCCAACACTCACATACATTTGTGCCTAAATGGTTAAACTATTAGTAGAAAAATAAGATAATCTGCATTTTTTTTCTGTGATACAGGCCTTATTACACTTCAGAGTAAGATTTGTTTTGCTTCCTTAACGTGCTCAGATCTTGTTAAACTTCTGTTAATAAACAGAGAGTTGAAGAGGAAATACTGGTTAAGAACAGCAGTGCTTGTAAGGATTACCTCATTGAAGCTATGAAGTATCACTTGCTGCCTACCGAGCAACGAGCTCTGATGAAAAGCACTCGAACGAAACTGCGAACACCTGCCAGCCTTCCAAAAGTAAGAGCCTTGTTTTTGCAATGCACTTAATTCTTCAAATTCCATTTTAACAGATGTGACAGCATTACTATCACTCAGTCCAGTAAAATAAGTAATAGCAGAATACACAAGGTGATGATCCTGTTGTTGACAAAGTAAGCCTGGTTTAAAAATAAAATTAAATTAAAAAATGGACCCGTGCTTCTGAGTCATGGCGCTTTATTTTGTTCCAAAGTATAAAATTCTGCTCATTTAAAATAAAGAGTGTGCATGTGTGTGTGTATAAAATGTTCTATCCAGTGATAAAGAAGTTTTGTTGTGCTCTTATGGCAACTGCAATAATGGAAAAGGAGATTCACTTTTTTCCTAGCACTTTTACCTCCAAGGAACCAAATATGCTGTTCTATGATGGATGTTCACAGTGCCATTGAACATCACAGCTACCGAATTCTCCTACCTGCATTCTGAGTATGAGGTGAAAATGGAGCAGAATTGTGCCTCGTTCATGAGAGCTTTAAATTCTTGTTACTGCCTGCTTTTGTACCTGAGATATTTTCTCTGGACAGAGTTAATAATTGTGTTTTTTGAAAAAGGAGTTATGCCTACATTGCGAGGCCCAGATTGCTTTTCTAGGAGGATCACCCTTTGGTTTTTAAAAACAGGTGCTCTCATATTTACAAATACTTAATAAATATCATCTCCCTTTCAGTTGATGATGGTAGTTGGAGGACAGGCACCAAAGGCAATTCGCAGTGTTGAATGCTATGATTTTAAAGAGGAACGCTGGCATCAGGTGGCTGAGTTGCCTTCCAGAAGATGTAGAGCAGGTAAATAATGCCCAATATTTTGTTACGTTGATTCATGCTTCAGACTTCAGCTGTTCACATAAAGCTTCCTACTGTATTTCAAACAGTAATTGAAAATAGTTATCTGAGAAGAGCCAAGTCTTCAGTGATCATCCGTAAAATTTAAATCATGGAATCTTAGAACAGCCTGGGTTGAAAAGGACCACAAAGCTCATCCAGTTTCAACGCCTTGCTGTGTGCAGGGTCACCAACCACCAGACCAGGCTGCCCAGAGCCACATCCAGCCTGGCCTTGAATGCCTCCAGGGATGGGGCATCCACAGCCTCCTTGGCAACCTGTTCCAGTTCCTCATCACTCTCTGGGGGAAAAACTTCTTCCTAATATCCAACCTAAACCTCTCCTGTCTCAGTTTAAAACCATTGCCCTTGTCCTATCAGTGTCCACCCTCATAAACAGCCATTCGCCCTCCTGTTTATCCACTCCCTTCAAGCACTGGAAGGCCACAATGAGGTCTCCTTGGAGCCTTCTCTTCCCAAGCTAAACAAGCCCAGTTCCCTCAACCTTTACTCATAGGAGAGCTGTTCCAGCTCTCTGCTCATCTCAGTGCCTCCTCTGGACCTGCTCCAAGAGCTCCATGTCCTTCCTGTGCTGGGGGCCCCAGGCCTGGGTGCAGTGCTGCAGATGGGGAATGATGTACTTGCTAATCTAGATAGACACAAGTTTGATGATTTGAATTTAATTGGTATTTCAGTTCATAATCTGAGAATAAATTACATCAACTGCCAGTGATACAGAGGATAAATATATGAAAATACTAATACATTATGATAATTAGCAATTCTATTACTAACATACCTTAGTATTATTATGTTAGATGACGAATGGGAAGAAATGACCAGCTGATACCAAAAAGGTGAAAGTGTGATCTTAAAATATTTGAGATAGCTAAGCAAGAAGAAATTCAGTAAGCATCACTTTCAGGAGCGTGAGCCATTAATAACAAAAAGTATCACAACTTCTAGTACTTAAATTGAAGGAAGTGTGGCTCTGTGACAGTGTCAAAAATCTGTGTAGTGAGTACTGTAAATTGTGTCCAGTATCTGCATACCTGAAGTACAGAATGAAATGATTCAAGAAACAGATGAAAATGCTCAACTTTCTTCTTTGTTTCCCTGCTCTAGGAATGGTGTACATGGGAGGCATGGTTTATGCTGTTGGTGGTTTCAATGGTTCATTAAGAGTTCGCACAGTAGATTCCTATGATCCGGTGAAGGACCAGTGGACCAGTGTTGCTAATATGCAAGACAGGAGAAGCACACTGGGAGCAGCTGTATTAAATGGACTTCTCTATGCTGTGGGAGGATTTGATGGGAGTACAGGTATCTTTGCCTTTACTTTCTGTTGATAAGTTTTCTCTACTCATGATGCAACTGTATCAAATATGAATATCTCTTACCTGTGATGAAAGGAATGGTGAGGATAGCCTAGCACCTTGTGGTTGGAGCATGCTTTAGTGGTCTCATCCTTCTACCCAGTGCTGAGCTGCAGGCTGTTCTTTTCCATCTAAGGCTTTAGGCATATTGCCTGGACAAGTTCCCTTTCAGCATTACTTGTACAGTCTAGGTCCGTACCTCAAGGAGCCTGTGAGCAGAAAAATTACACCTCTGAGTTTGTGTCTGGTGTAAACAGGGTTATAAACAATGTTGTCTGAACTGTGGGAAAGCATACAGTCATTTGCTTCACAGGTATGTTAAACCTTTTGTCTGGAGGTTCTTCCTTTAATAGCTGCTACTGATGTGTACGTAGTAGAGAACGTTTTATTTAAAGAGAAATAAATCCCAGGAAAAATTTTTCGAAGTTCCCCAAGCTTTTACTGATTTGTCCATTTGCAGACACCAAGAATGTGGTGACTGTATTTGGCCAGCTGAAGGATACCAGTTGTACCTCTTGCAAAGTAGTTATGTTTAAAATTAATTTGAATTGACAGATATCGAGAACCTTCTGGAAGATACACGACATGTTGCATCTAGATTTGTAGAGGACTTAATGTTATCTTGTTTTCACAGGTTTATCATCAGTTGAAGTTTACAACTTAAAGACTAATGAGTGGTTTCATGTAGCTCCAATGAACACAAGAAGAAGTAGTGTTGGAGTGGGTGTTGTTGGAGGTAAGTTGACAAGTAACATTAGAAATGAGGAGGAGAAATGCAATCATTTACCTTACTGCCTTTTTTCACCTACTTCAGATTTTGGTTTCCTCTCAACCCTGTCATTCAAATGGTGTGAGCTCAACATAGGCATTCTACTTTGTTTTGGCAAGCTTTTAGCATAGGGTTTTCTTTTTTCAGGGTTTCAACTGTGTATCAGATGTGCCTAAGGCCAACCAACAATACGTGCTAACCGTGCGTGCTCTGTATTATGCATGTCAGCAAAGATAAAGAGCCTGTTTGCTGAAGCAGTGAGCATTGAAATTGGTCTTCAGTGACGTAACTCTGTACTGTTAACTCTGTTATCTGTGGGTGACTGGCGTTCAAGGGCAGCTTGGTGGTGAATAGCTTGGTTGTTGCTTGTGCAATGCACAGCCAGCTTGTGTGTCCTAAAAGAGTTTTAGGCACTTTTTCATTTTTTAACTGCATAGGAGCCACTGCTGTTCCTTATCTAAAAATGGAGAGTATACTAGTAATTTTCATCTGAATTTTTTTTATGTTTCTAGGGAGCCTTTAAGTGAGCTAGCAGTGTTGGATACACTTGAATTAGTTGGCTTTTGAACAATTCTTAGTTAAAACCAGAGTCAAGTGCCCTTATATGTCAGGTAGGCAGTTCAAAGTCTTTTGACTTGCGCTGTTCTTGTTAGATACAAAAGCTGTCTTTTACCTCCTAAAAATGACAAGAACCACAGTGTATTATCGTGAACTACGTGCGAAAATAGGAACTCACAGCAACTGATTGATACAAGTAGTGGGCAGCTAACTCAGAACAGTGACTTTCCCTTTGCATGTTTAACAGTGTACTTACTCCATGTGCATCAGAAATGCACAGGTTTTTCTCGCTTACCTTCACAGGTAAACTGTATGCAGTTGGTGGCTATGATGGGGCATCACGTCAGTGCCTTAGTTCAGTCGAATGCTACGATGCCAATACAAATGAGTGGAGCTACGTGGCAGAAATGAGCACTAGGCGGAGCGGAGCAGGTGAGCGAACAAAAAGCAACAGCTGTAGTAAAACTGAAGCAGATCTGTGCTTTTAGATTGTATCAGAAATACAGAAGGTAAGGTGATGTCGGAGTCTAATGAAAAGCATCAGTCTCAAATGGCAGGCTTATCTGAGGTTATAAACACAGAAGTGTCTTACAGAGTAAGATTCAGTCTGTTAAGAGTAAATATTTTCCCTTGCTTTTTCATACTTTTCATACTCTTCCCATAGCTTCTCAAGTTTACAGTGAACTACGTGTGGTTACTACAGTCACTGTAGTAGTAGCTAAATAAGGAATTATCACAATCTAGATGTCTAGGATGAGAGATGTCATTTCCTCCAAGATATCTTTTTGCCAGTGTTGGGCTGATTTATCTAGTAGCATTGTCAGATGCACTTTTCTTGTGAACCATAATCTAGATTTCCACCTCTTCAGAGGATTCGTTCTGCATTATAATTTACTGCAGGGAATTTTGTCCTTGTTCATCCCTAAGTTGGTATTACTGCTTTCATCTTACTACTTCCATTTATGTGCCCTTCATTTCATCCTCAGTAATTCTTCCCACCACCTGATGTTCACACCCTTTAGATATGTACAGATTACTATGTTGTCCTTCCGTATTTATCCAAGATATATCCTTTTGTTTCTTTAATCTTAAAAATCCCTTCTTATTTTTTTCATGGATTTTTTTCCCTTTGGGATTCTGAGTATATATATATATATTTCTCTTCAGAGACATTGAAAATGCCTGTGGTATTCTGCTCTTGCTTAATGAAACGTTGTTTCCAGAGCTTCACACTGACTTCAGCATTTTCATTATCTATTTTGGACTTGACTCTCATTTACTGTTCACTTTCCTCTATTTGTCTTTTGGTATTTCAGGTTTTTTCAACTCGCTGAAGTTGTTTTATTTCTGTAGATGCATCCAACGTGAACTTTTTCAAGTCAAATTGTGCAATATTATTTTTCTACGTTCATTTTTTCACTTAGGTCACTTCTTTGTCAATTACTCAGCGGTGCTTTTTAGCAACACCTTTCACATACCTACTGGTGATTGTGCTAACCTGCTTCACAACTGGAAAAGATGTTGCTGCAAATAAAATGGGTGGCTTTCCTGTGTGCTCTGTAGATGACTGAATCACACAGAATCACTGACAGTTGTCCCAACTTTTCGTCTTGCCTTCCGTTATTCTTTATTAATGTTGAGTAGCTTTTAAGCTATGGTAATGATGTTTGAAGTCAATCCAAATTATTTCAGTAGGCATTATATAGAAGTATTAAAATCAGTACTGAATTTAAGCTACATAGTTGGTCATATTTCCTTACCGCCCTTACAATACTAGCAAGCAGACCGGTCTGCTACTGCTAGCAATATTTCTGTGGTTTTTAAATGAAAGTTAAGTTAATGAAAGAAGTCTGATATGGTACTGTGAAGCTTCTAGTTACTTAGTTGGTGTATCACGAAAATAAATCCGGGATTAAAACTTGGCCAGAGCTGCAGTAGGCAGTTGTTTAATATTGGCGAGTTTTGAGGAAGATGTTTATATAAAACAGCCGAACTACTTGAATGATCACAGAGACAAACAGCGTTGGTGGGCTGCTAAGAAGGTTCATTTTGCAGTCTTCCAGCAACACCCTTTTATCTAAGTTTAAAAAATAATAATTAAATGGGAAAAAAAAAAAATAAAAATGCCACAACCTGTTTTTGCAAGCTGTCATTGCACCTGCAGCCTATTTTGCCTATTTTCAGATTTTTCTTGGATTTTGAGCTACTTCTGCAAGTCTAAAATTTAGTGCCTTAAATGCAACAGCTGCAGGGATCTTTCTGCCCTGCCCCTCTCCTCCTGTCCCTCGCCTTACAGCTAAGGACCTTGTTCATGTAACTCTGCTGCTTCTTATCTCATCCTCTGTTTAAAAAAGAAATAGAGAGGAAAAAGGTAAATTCAGTAATTTCAGATTCACGTAATTGAGGAAAATAATCCAGTGTTCTTTGGGGCCACTCTTAAATGCATGGAAAGTTTCATTTGTGCTTGGGGAAGAGCGGGTGGTAATGTGGAAAAATCGTGGCTGTTGACTGAGCTTGTCTGTCAGCCAGGTATCTCAAAGCTCTAGATCTGCTTCAGCTGGTGACCAGCCCTGGTGTTTTAGGTACTCGCTAAAGAGAATTTCGTTCCTGCATTAAATCAGGGATCTCTGTTCATCTCAAGGAACTTGAGCCCATCTCTGCTGTTCCTTCTGCTTCACCTTCATTCAAAAGCCACTTCAGAGGTGAACCTTCAGTTCATCTTCCCGAGTACCGACTGCATCTCTGTTGGTCAGTGTGGGGACAGATCTGTTTCTGGCAACAAGTTGGGATGAGGAACTTCAGATTCAGATGTAGGCCATTTGGGAGGGATGAGAGAGATAAGACAGGGTCCTGAAAATGGGCAGGAAAGAAAAGTAACAGGAGAACTCTGAAGACATCAACAAGAAGATCCAGGCGGAGGGAGCAAGAAATAAGATAGGACTTGGAAACTGGGGGTGGGGTTAAGGGAAAATGAAGGACCAAAGAGAAATGAAAGACGTTTTTAAAAAGGAATTGCCAAATAAGAAATGGCAATATGGCAAAAGAAAACTATTTACACTATGTAGGCAGGTCAGAAACTGGAGAGAAAATTCAGGTGGGGAAGAAAAATAGCAATGAAGCACATTCTTTATGGTTGTTTGCTTGATCTGTATCACATCACCCATTCAAACTAAAAATCTTAGCCATCCTAGCTCCATAATGTTTAACCATACAAAAGATGAATGCTGTATTATCCTGTCTAATAAAGAGAGTGGGAGAAAGAAAAGCTGTCACTTAGTACTGTGACATGATAGCTAGAAATAATAGCAATCCAAGAGGAATTAAATGAACTGGGATGGGTAGAGGCGAATGTCAGTCGTGAACGGCACTGGCAGAGTGCTGGATAGCATGATGTATAATCAGTGTCAAATTAAGAGCTGCTTTTCAGATTTGCAGTACTAATTAACTCTTCCATGTTTCCTTCCTTTTTTCATTATTAAAATCTGTTGGTTTTCTTAATGAGCAAATCGTTACTGCAGAGTTATTTTCTTTTCACCATGTAGGATAGGAGTGGTCCACACTTGCAGTCCTAGGGATACATTTTTTAAAGGTGTTTCAGCTGGCTTTTAAGGTCTCAGAACATTTTTTTTAAGCCCAACATCCTTCCATAGTAATGATTTTTAATTAACTTTGTGGTCCATCATTCACAACTTTTAATGCCGAAAAGTTGTACTTGTGAAACCTAATATGTTTGGGTTATAATAGTGCATTATAAAGCCAGGAATAAACAAACAGACCTCCCTTTTTGTTTCCTCTGTTACCATCTTTTCCGTATGTGCAGTCTAACTAGCAAGTAGGTCTTGGACTAGCTACATTTATTGCTTCATCCCAAGCTTATAGACTCATAAAATGTTGTAAAGTAAAGGGGACCGTGGGAGTAAAGGAGATCCAAAAAATACTTTGGGATAATTTGGAGTTTTGTGTTCTAGCAGAGGAAGGTACTCACTGTAATTGCTTATTTTGTTTCATACATGTTTATAAGGTATTCCAGCACTTCAGTGGAGGCATTCCTATTGTTTAATGTCTGTGCACTCAGCTTTTATCCTCCATACTGCACAGTTTCTACTTTCTAAAAATTCAGTTAAGCCTTTATCACTTCATCAGATTTCCTTTACGTTGAATTGAGCATACTGTGTTATTTACTATCATTTCTAATTAGTCCTAAGCTCCAGCCATCCTCCTGGTTGTGCTTATCATTTTTTGATCCAAAATCTTCTACATGTTATGTTGCAGAACACCTCTGGTCTATAATAAGGATGGGCATGCAAGACATTTTATCAGTGTCTTGCATTACTCTACTGTCTCTTTATGTATCCTGACCCAAATGTCTTCTGAAATAGTTCCTAACATTGGATGAATGATTTATTTTAGCAGACATTTCTTTGGTTGATTTTTTTTTTTTTTTGGTATCAGTCAAATGATGCTGTGGTTAATTTGGAATGTTTTCACGTGTTCACAGGTGTTGGTGTGTTAAACAATTTACTGTATGCGGTGGGTGGTCATGATGGTCCTTTGGTAAGAAAAAGTGTGGAAGTGTTCAACCCTGTCACCTGTACGTGGAAGCAGGTTGCAGATATGAACATGTGCAGAAGGAACGCAGGTACGTACAACAGTCACTGCTCATGCTTTCATGGGTGTGAATGAGCTGATCATTAATTTTCATAATTGGTTCCCTGTCTTTTTATTTTTTAGGTGTTTGTGCTGTAAATGGGCTCTTGTATGTAGTTGGAGGAGATGATGGCTCCTGTAATTTATCAACAGTGGAATATTATAATCCAACAACTGATAAATGGACAGTTGTGTCATCTTGTATGAGTACAGGAAGGAGCTATGCAGGTAACGTTGTCTAGGGTTTGTTTTTAAGACTTTTTACAGCATATTGAACTGTAGTCAGGATAAGAAACTTGATAAAGCAAGCTTTCCAGCACAAAGTAGTGTCGAAAATAAAAGCTAAGAATAGGTACGAAGAATTTCATGGTTCATTTCGAATAAAGACTTCAAACAATCATTCACTAAAATGAAAGAGATACTGAACTGTATTGAAGAAGAATTTAGCGTGCAATGATGAGTTAGAAGGTTGCAGTGTGACTGGTCCCTTTTTTCCTCGGGAGAGTTTTTGTCATTGTCTCAACTTGCAGCGGTCCAATTCTGAAGCTCTCTGTGGGAAATTGCTATTTAGAAAATGAGGTGTTGTAGGAAGCTTCTCCTTTACTAACTGCAGTTTCGTAAGTTATAAGTGTATGTAAAGGATATATTAACTATAAGGGTAAGGTTGATTTTTTTTCCAAATAACAGAAACATTCAGAAATTGACACTGATTCATTTAAGTTTGTTATGTAATCGATGTGCTGTTAAAAATAAATGAAGAACATAGTAATAGCCTGCAACGAGCATCATATTGAAAAGCTGTGCATGATTCTGTTTTCCCGAGACCTGCACCTTTCTCCCTTGCTCCAGGTGTTACAGTTATTGACAAACCGTTATGATCGACGAGGGGATTTTCAATTTGATTATGCACTAGAAGCAGTCTTCAAGTGTATTTGAAGTGACTGAGTACCTGAGCACTTCTCTACTTGTAGCTGCGCCTTGAGTCACAGTGGAAGATGTGGCTGTGTACAATTAGAGATGATGGATGATGAAGATTACTCTAGGCAGAAGCAATGCGTGGGACTGCTCTGCGGCTGAACAGGGGCAGTGTAGTAGGACCGTTTCTTTTTATACTGCAAGATCTTCAAACACAGAAGCCACTTTCATGAGGACAGACTTATGTCAGTTGTGACTGAGAAACAGATTGTCAGTGGAGAATGGTGTGTATTCTGGTGGAAGTAAATTTGTCTTATTTTTTCCAGAGACTAATAATCATATTTAAAGAAACGAACCGTCAGTCTACGTAGTAGGTATGGAATTCCACCTCAGTAATTCAAGCTGGCATGGGGGGAATCTGTTTCCTTTTATATAAAACTTTTGTTACATAACTATAATATGTGCATAATGTATGTGTGAGCATAAGTTGCTTTCTATTGCAACTCTTCAAAACCCCACTTTATTATTTATAATTTGGCACAGTACTTTGGATATGCCCGTACGATGTTGTACAAGAGAGTTGTATTTTTTGATATTTAACAATACTTACCACTACTAATTCCCACAGGAGGAGATCAGAGATGGTACAATGATTCTTGAACAGGTCTGATTTCGAGGTCTTTTTAATAAAAACGTTGTCTGTACTTAATGTTTTTCTTTTCTGTTCAATTTTGGTCACGTTTAGATGTTACTTCTTTCTTACCTTTTTATGGGAAAGGTGATTTGGCATGAAAATAACTGAAAATTTATAATGAGTGTGTGAAATTAAGTTGAACTTGCATGGTACTAAGGTCTCTTAATGCGTGTAACCTTAGCTTCTGTTAGCTAATACTGGATATGCTGTATGTGGCCATGTTCATAGAGCAGCTCGTTTCTATTCATTCCTGGATCGCCTCCTTTTAACACGACCAAAGTTATTGTCATAATTGAGATATTTTCTTCAAATAAACAGTTTGTATATGGTTTCCTAATGCCAACCAATTGCTTAAAGCTCGTGTTTCTCCACACCATGAGGGAAGAGATGTGTGGGGAGGAAAGCAGTGACTCCACCCTCGGGTCAGGGAAGACTGTGAGTTTAGTGATGGCTGAGGGTGGGAAGGGGTGGGTGTTTAATGAATGGGGTGGCTCTGAAGGGGTTGCACTCAAGCCACTGTACTGGCGTTGTAGTTTCCCGTTGTTAGGGGGATGCCTTGCTGGCCCCAGGCCCTGGCTGGAAGGAGGAAGCTTCCCAGGCGGAGAGCAGCCGTCACCGGGCTCAGGGCAGCACCCCGCCCTGCCCACCTGCGGGCCCGCCTCCTCCTCATCACCTCGCGCACGTCACCCGGCCGTCCGCCCGCCTCATTGGCCGCGCGCCGAGGTCTCACTATCCTCACTCCACCCCTCCAGCCAATCGCCGCGCCCGCACGGCAGCTCCGACCCGCCCCCTCCCACGCCTGACTCTCCGCCGTCGCCTCCCGCTGACCAATGAGAGCCGCGTCGGGGTTACCGGGCGACCAATGAGAAGGCGCGGGTGAAGAGCCGTCCGCGCAGCTCTTGTTATTGCTGCCGTCTCCCGCTGTGCGAGAGGGCCGCCGCAGCGCCGAGGTGAGCGAGGGCCGCGCCGGGTGCCGTTGAGGCGGGGGGCGCGGGGTCGGGGCTCCGAGGGCCGGCGGGCGGCCGCGGGCCGCTCTGGGGTGCCGCCCGGCCGGGGCTGCGGGCAGAGCGAGGGCCGAGCCGCGCGTCTCCTTGCGTTGTACCCCGCTGGTTGCCTTTTGTACCCGTGTGGAGCTTCGTTCTTTTATGCTGTGCTTTAGGAAAAGGGGCTGTGTGAACCTGCTCCTCGGTTTTGATCCTCGAATTAATTAACGGCCAAGGTTCTTCCTTTCTGACCAATAACCGCCGCTTGTTCCTTTCCAGACATTCAGGTTAGGCGCAGACGGCCGTAGAAGAGCCCTAACTGTGATGTTTTGTGCCTGAACGATGGCAGCGAACGACAGCGTTAATATCCTGAACTCGGCTTACCTGGCAGTGGAATATATAGACTCCTTCCTGCCCGACAACCCTCTGCAGCAGCCGTTTAAAAATGCCTGGAATTACATGCTGGACAACTACACCAAGTTCCAGATAGCGACGTGGGGGTCGCTTCTAGTTCATGAAGCTTCCTACTTCTTGCTCTGCGTGCCAGGATTCATCTTCCAGTTTATTCCCTACATGCAGAAGTATAAAATCCAGCCGGTAAGACAGAGCAGTGGGCTGCATGCTGACCCACCTAGAGACGTGTGAAGGAGGCACGCTGACCTACCTGGCTGCTGGGGGTTTCCATTTCACGTGGCCACGTTTGGCCTCAGTCGCTGCGAGCAATTTGGAAGGAACAGAGGAAAAAGGAAAATCAGAGTATTTGTGATGAGGGGACAAAGAGGAGTGAGTTTGGGGAAGCAACGGAGTTTTTTTTGCTGAGGGGGAGAGTATCACAGAGTCATAGGATCACAGAATGGCCAGGGGTGGAAGGGACCTCATGGATCATGAATCTCCAACGCCCTGCTACATGCAGGGCCACCACCTCCACATTTAGTACTAGACCAGGCTCCCCATCCTGGTGACAGTTTTTTCCTCTGTTCTTTGTAATAGGAATTGGAAGTAAACCACTTTCTAGAATTATCACAATGATTTGATAAGGTGTCTTCCTGCAAACGCCTCTTTGTTCAAGGCAGTTTATTTCTCGACAACTTTTTATCTTCAGCTTCTGTTGTATTCCTTTAGCTATGGCAACACTTTGGTGCAAAGAAAAGAAATAAACTTAGATTTGAATTACTGAATCTGAAACGTTCCTGCTAATTACAATGACTGAAACAACAAGAATAGTTTAAGGGGGCTGGCAAGGACAACTTCTGATGAGAGACTTCAGAAAATGTTCAAGGAACGGCTGGATGTTGTGTTGAATGACATGGTTTAGTGAGAACTAGTGGTGATAGGGTGGGTGGTTGGACTGGATGATCATAAAGGTCTTTTCCAGCTTTGGTGATTCTGTGAAAAGCAGTTTAGAAAAGTGAGAGCCTTTGTGAAATCCAGGCCCATGAAACTGGTGCTCCCTGGTTTAATTTGTGTGGTGGGAAGACCAGCTACCTGTCTTGTACTGTGAGATGAAATTGCCTTTGAAGTCGTCTTTGGCTTTATGTGCAGTAGAAATGCGTAACTCATGTTTCTTTTTGTGTTTTTCTTCCTTAGGATAAACCAGAAACGTGGGAAAAACAGTGGAAGTGCTTCAAAACACTCATGTTCAATCACTTTTTCATTCAACTTCCTCTAATCTGTGGCACGTACTACTTCACAGAATTCTTCAACATCCCCTATGAGTGGGACGAGATGCCTAGGTGGTACGTAGATACGTCTTGTGCGTTCGTACTGAACAGCACTTGCTTACACACATAACAGAAACTTCATGATGGAGTTTGTGACGTTAACGTAACTTTTTTGGCTAACAAACTATATTTGCTAACCAGCCTTCGGACTGAATTGCAGTAGGAGCTCATTAGAGCTTCCTAGAGTCACACTGGCTCTTGTAAGATACCAAGTGGGTGATGTGCTGTGGGATTTTTTTTTATCATCCAGCTTTTTTTTTTATTCTCTGTTATGTCCTTTTAAGTGTTTCTTTGCCCCACCTTGTTTTATTTCACAGCAGCAGTGAGTTACTCAGGGGAGGGGAAGATGCCTCATGTTTCCCTCTTTTGCCCTAAACTGGTGAAAAATGCTGCAATACTTAGAAATGCCTTTTTTTTTCTCACCAGTAGTTGTTTTTACAACAGAAGTTCATCATTTTTAGTTGTTTTCTGTCTGGTTAAATACCCAGCAGGTTTCTGTGTCTAGGTCTTAGATCGCAGGTGTTCCTTATAGGCTGTACATGTGATGTTGAAATGACAGCTTGCTGCACTGCATGTTAACTCTGACATATCAACAGATGAGCTATGAAGGCTGATGCAGATTTTTACATCACAGTGCACAGAGGTTACCTTTTCAACCAGTAATACACATTTCCTGCCTTCACTATCTTGTCAACTCCTTTATCCTTCAAGACTGTGCGTTTGCAAGTATCTTCTACAACTCTCGACTCTTTTTGTTTTTAAAGGTATGTTCTGCTTGCCCAGTGTTTTGGATGTGCAGTGATTGAGGATGCCTGGCACTATTTCCTGCATCGACTGCTGCATCACAAAAGAATATACAAGTACATCCATAAGGTTCACCACGAGTTTGTAGTATGTATTCCTTGTTTTGATTTGGTTGCTTCTAGTGCGTGCAGATTCATACGGCTTGTTTGAAGACTTCATTTGGCAGACTTAAGGGTTTTGCATCTTTCTGACAGTGGCCTTTCCTTGAGCACAGCTGAGTGCAGCCATCCATTTTGATACTGGACGCACCGGCTGTTCTTTGATTTTATTTCAAGAGAGTGAAAGGGTGCACTTTTAATAGCATGGTCTGCTTATTAGGGGGGAGGGATGCAATAGGTTTTCAGGTTATGGCTGTTCATCACTTTGCATTGCTGCAAACTGATGAGTGTGTGGTGATGTGCTTAGATCTGCAGCAGTAGCTGCCATTCTCCTCTTGGCAGCCCCTCAGACTTCTAGCTGGAGCAGCTTCTGGCCAGCATTCTCAAGTACGTGTAGCACTTCATATAGAAGTCATCTATAAGCTAACAGCTGTTTCACTAAGAACTTCCCCTGACGATACAAGCTGATGATTTTAAAATCATCCTTAAGCCAAAGTAGACTTAAAATTTTCTCCTGGTAACGCAATGCTGAAGGTTGTCGGTTTGCTTTTATTTTTGTTTTTTAATTTAGTATCTTTATGTGAGCATTCCACTGTTGAAAACTCTCTGTGGAATTTCGTTTTTGGTAAAAAAAAAAAAATGTGGGAATGACTGTGTGTGTATGTATGTGCATATGCATATATATATACATATGTGTGTATAGATTACAGAATGGCCTCAAGGATGATGAATCTCCAACCCCCTGCCACAGGCAGGGCCACCAACCTTCACATTTCATACCAGCCCAGGCTGCCCAGGGCCCCATCCAACCTGGCCTTGAACACCTCCAGGGATGGGGTCCACACCCTCTCTGGGCAGCCTGTATACATACATAAAATGCTTTGGTTCTATCTTAGGTTTTGAATGATAAGAATTTAATTAATTTATAAAGCTGATCTATCAATATGGGCACTTGTTCATTTTGGTAGGTTTTAATTGGGAATTATCTTTTTTCTTCAAATGACAAATTCTTTTGGCTTCCTTCTGTTTTGTTCTACTTCCAAGACTGGATCTATTGCAAAGCTGATAGGAGCTTGCCAAATGCTTTAACATTCCTGTTTTTTGGCCAGGGGCAATGGTAAGCCAAAGCAGAAGGTTTTGGGTTTAATATGGAAGCACTTGGAATTGCTAATGGCATCATAATCATTATCAACTCGAAGCACTGTTTTCTGCTTTAGCAAGGACCCTCGTGTTTAGATCTTTGCTCGACCAGACTGTTCCCTTCACCCACAACGTTGTTCTGTTTCTCTTGCTGTGGGTTTTGTGGGACGTGGGGAGCACCATCAAATAGTGATGCTGCTTTGGGAGTATAGAAAATCAGAAAGGGTGACAGTTTTCCTGTCTGTTCTGTTTTGTAGTCTCCATTTGGAATGCAAGCAGAATATGCACATCCTCTGGAAACGCTCATCCTCGGAGCTGGCTTCTTTATTGGAATTGTTGTCTTCTGTAACCACGTGGTTCTTCTGTGGGCATGGGTGATATGTCGCCTGATGGAAACCATTGACGTGCACAGGTGAGACCTTTGTTCCTTTTTAATAGTTCCACTTTTCCCTAAGTCTGTCTTAAAATTACCTGTCTCTTTTTCACTGAGCTGAGCTTTACTGCTTTATTATTATTATTATTATTTTCCATGAAATGTGCTTTTACACATCTTAGAATGGCATGGTCTAAAGAGCTAAGCTCTGTTCTGTGTTGAGG